TTCGTGTTTTTTTTTGTTTCCGTTCAGTGGACGTCTACTCAAGTGTTGTGGGTTTAGTGGCAGCTCGGTAAATGAAAATAAAATCTGAGTAAATTTTCGAATTTGTGTTTCTCGACTGTGTTTCTGAAATTGAAAGTTTTATGATCTGGTAAAGAAATCATTTTTCTTTTCGATATCCTTGTTTCCATCTCATTAAGAGTAAGGAACGTAGTGAGTACTCTTAGATAGGTCTTACTTAGTTTTTTTAAAAAGTCTTAAAGTTTGCTCATGAAAAACGTGATCAACTTCTAATATCGAAAACAAAATTTAATTTGCAGATTTCCCGGCGAAATCTAATTTTGCCTACTGATCCAGTTTTCTCAAATTGAGTTAGTTATACCAAAAAATGTCAATCATAAATCGTTCTAGAATTTGAATAAAGCTCAAGGCAATTTTTGTTTCGAAATTCTAAAGTTGAGATTTTCAAGATTAATGAACTAGTGAGTACACTAAAATAGGTCTTGCTGATTTTTTTTTCATGAAAATGTCTTAAAGTTTGTTTACGCTCAATTTTCGTTTTCGCGATTTGACCTTGGATTTTTTCAAATTGTAGTGCATTTCTATTGTTAAAGAGAAGGCAAACTCCACTATCGAACAGCATAATTGTAAAGGTTGCGAAAAACGTGTTCGATTTTTCTAATTTCGCAAATGGAAATTAATTATCACATTAATCAGCAAAAGAAACCGATCGACCCAGTTTTCTCCAATTGGGTTGCTTTTATTAAAAAGAGTCCATCATAACTTGTTCTATAAATTCAAAGAGCTTTAAGGCCATCTACTGTTTTCTTCGAAATTCATAAAGTTGAAGATTCATGAAAAAGTTTTTTTGTTTATCAGTTTTGTTGCATTTATTATTCTTTCCCAACTGATAGTTGGCTGTTTTTTTTTTTGCGTAAAGAACATTTTAAAGCACTCAAGTTTGTTAAGGCAGTTCGTGTTTTTTTTCGGTTCAGTGGAAGTGTACTCAATTGTTGTGGGCTTAGTGGCAGCTCGGTAAAGGAAGATAAAAGCTGAATAAGTTTTCGAATTTGTTTCTCGACTGTGTTTCTGAAGTTGAAAGTTTTATGTTCTGATAGAGAAATCATTTTTTTCAATATCATTGTTTCCATCTCATTAAGAGTAATGAACGTATTGAGTACTCTTAGATAGGTCTTGGTTATTATTTTTCAGGGAAAAGTCTTAAAATTTGTTCTTGAAAAATGTGATCGACTTCTAATATCGATAACAAAATTTAATTTGCAGATTTCCCAGCGAAATCTAAATTTTACCTTCTGCTCCAGTTTTCTCGAATTGAGTTAGTTTTTAGCAAATAAGTGTCAATCATAAGTTTTTCTGGAAATTAGAAAAGAAGCTCAAGGCAATTTGTTTTTTTTTGGGAAATTCTAATGTTGAGTTTTTTGAGAGTAATGAACCTAGTAAGTACTCTTGTATTAAATTTGTTCACGCTCATTTTTTTTTTCGCGATTGGACCTGTGATTTTTTTTGAAGTTCAGTGCTTTTTTATTGTTAAAAGAAAGGCAAACTCCACTATCGCACTGCAAAATTGTAAAGGTCACAAAAAACGTGATCGACTTCTAATTTCGAAAATGGAAATTGATCATCAAATTTTTTAGCAAATTAAATGTTTTGATCCATTTTTCAAATTGGGTTACTTTTAACAAAAAGTGTCCATCGTAAATTGTTCTACAAATTCAAAGAGCTTTAAGGCCATCAATTTTTTTCTTCGCAAATCTTAAAGTTAAAGATATATGCAAAAAAAAGTTTTTTTTTTTAGTTTTGTTGCGTTCATTTTTCTTTTTCAACTGTCAGTTGGCTATGTTTAAAAAAAACAAGTCTTTTCATTTGCGTTCATTACTCTTTACTAACTGTCAGTTGGCTGTTTTTTTTCGCATAAAGAACTGTTTAAAAAATTTTTTTTAAAAGAACTTTCACTGTTTTGCATAGCTACGCTTGCGGTGTATCACAAGTGGTGAGAAGCTCCGCTTAGCCTCAATGTAATATTTGTTTACCAGAATTTGTGTCAATATTTAGGTCGAGTTGAATTGTTTATTCGTTTGTTTTTCAGCATAAAGTTAAATGTCGAAATTTGTTCGCGCCCAATTTTTTTTTCGGATTGACTTTGTTTTAGGGTTGAGTTAAAATTCAGTTGCTCAAAGGAAGTTCAATTCATTATCATTTGCTCAAAGGAAGCAAATTCCGAAAGTAGAAATGGCACGAAAAAACGTAAATTAATTCTAGGTTTGAAAGATTTTAGCTTTAGAAAGGTTTTCAGCTTTAGATTTTACAGTGAGCATTCAACCATTGATCCGGTTTTTCAATTCGGTTTATTTTTCATCAGAAAAGTGTCAATACTGAACTCATAATGAAAATTAAAAAGCTTAACAGCCATATATATTTTTGAAGTTCAAAAGTTAGGTTTTTATTCAAAAAAAAGGTCAGCCATTTTCTTCAGCTTCTGTGCGTTCAATGACACTTGGCCAACTGTCTTTTGGCTGTTTAAAGTTTTTGAAAAAAATGATCACTGTTTTTTCTTGCAATGATAGGGGGGGGGGGGGGGGTTAGGAAAAATATTGTGCTGCTTCATTGTATGCGAATTTATTGTGAGATTGAGAAATTTCAAGTTTTGATCAATGAGAAATCATGGACTTTTTTCTGAAAATTTACTTAATTTAGAATAGTTAATAGAAATTTTAGACTGCATACTTGATTCTTTGATGGTGACCTTTATCTTACGACGATATTGATAGTTTTGAACCAGAATGGGGAACTCCGCCTCTCAGTTGGAAGGTGTGTGGTTTGAGGCGAACGATTATTCGTGTTCGTTACTTGCGATGTTAAGGCAACATGTTTTAGGCGCAGAGAATTGCGTGTAGATTTTAATTTGGGGAGCAACCGTTTTTTCGCGTAAAGAACTGGACAACTCGCATGTTGGTCCTATCGCTTTTAAATAACGGTCTTATGCCAAAAGCTTAATTCTGATCGCAGTTCGTATCTGCAATCATTTTGACACAACACAAAATTGTGTTATATTCTTAATATAGCACAAGCATTTGCTTGCATATTAATGATTACACATATGGGTTGTGAGCAAAGTGACTATTTTGACATGCGTTCATTCATCTACGAGGGATAGAAGGACCAACATGCGCGCTGTTCAAATTTTTTCTTAAACGTTTATGCTATAATATTATCTCATTTTTTTTTCTAGGCGCACATTTTAGTGTTCAGTTTCTGCGTTAAGTTGTTCCGATCATTTGAAAAATGTAGAGGATTTTGTATTCGGCTGTTTTAGTTTTTTTCAGGCAAAATCAGTTACCTCAAATGATAGCTATTGGAGAGAGTTGAGTGATAGATATATCATATTGAAGTCCTTTTAGTCGTGATTCGAACATTAAAAATTTTTTAAAAAATAAGTGTTGAGAAAAAACAGTTGGAAGTTTTTGATTTTTGGTCTAATTTCAAGCTAATTAGGTGAGGCTAAGCAGGCTTACAAAAGCTGATTTATGCTTAATTTAAGCCGTGAAAACTTAGTTTTACTTGAATAAAATTAGTTTTTGGAGTTTGTAGTGCCAATTTGGGAATCAAAAACTTCAAAGTTCAAATACTTTCTGCAAAAATTTAGTAAAAGGTTTTGATTTTTTTAACGATTTTTTTTTCGTTTTTCTAGTAATTCTTTTTCTAGTCGTTTTTCTAGTCATTCTGCAAAAACTGAGTTCCAAGTGGCCTATTTTACCAAGACTGTCGAATTCGGTAAAGCTCTTATTTTTTTCGTTCAGATTTCTTTATCACACCACGAAGAAAAAATGACAATAATTTTGATTTTTTTTGTGTGTATGTTATTTAAAATTATGGTCGCAACATTCTGTGCTACTTGCACAGTAACCTATCTTTGATTTTTTTTGCAAAGCTCCATATAATATTGCGGAAAAAAATAGTGGACCATATAATTGTCCAGTTAGTATAAGATGAACGAAAAAAAATCATCGGGACTCAAAAGTCTAAAATTTGTTCAGGTTCAAATTTTTTTTTTGCGGATTGACTTTTTATTGAGTTCAGTTCATTTCCTTTGTAACAAGCTAGACAAACTCCACTAAACGTGATCGACTTCTAGGCTCGCAAGTGGAATTCAAATTTTAGATCTCCCAGCGATAAAAGTTTACTCATTGATTCAGTTTTCTCATTGAACCAAGTTTGGATAAAGAGCTTTAGGGGCATCAAATTTTTTCCTATTTAGTTGTATTCAATGACTCATTTTCAATTGTCTGTTGGCTATGTTTTGATCCAGCTTTCTCATTGGGTTAATTTTGTATAATAAAAGTGTCTATCGTAAAGAGTCTGGAAATTCGGATGATATATATATATATAGAGAGCTTGAGTTCATGGACAATTTGCGATCTGTTTGATGGCTGTTTTGATAGTTTGGCGCTTGAAGTTTCTCATTGATGTTGCTAGTGTTTAAGAGGATAAATTCTCCTGTTTAAATTTCAGCATATTAGGGTAAAAACTGTGAATTTTACAAGAGAGCTCGAATGAAAGATTTTTTTTTCTCCCACTTTTGACCTTCATTGATTTTCGTTTCAAAGGTTCTGTAAACTTGTTCATTAAAAATGCAGTTTGGCGCCAAAATTATAATGCTCCAGAATTCTCTTTCAATGGTATTCCATAATTTTGTAGTGCGAAACAGTGTTTTCTTAGTGTAAAGTGAGGCATCTGACAATTTTTTTTTAAACAAAATGTGAACTTTTAATCTATCATTTGTCAGGCATAGTATTTCATAAAAGAAACACTTCATATCGAATCGGATGCCAACTTGTTTATAAAATGGCTTTTTCAAAAGGAGTTTTTTACAGAGACTTGAGATTCATAAAAAAATCGCCACAGGTTAGAAAAACTGCCACCTTTTTCTGGCACTGTAGTGTTTCGTAATTTTTCAAAACGTTGATTAATGTATCGCTCTTTTTATTCAGATAGAGATGATTGTATAATTTAAATGCGTTTTCATGGTCGAAGAAACGGACTTATTTAGTTTTTCACTGGATTTTTGACGTACCGGTAAGCGCAAAGGAGAATGAACACGTTCCGAAAACTCGTATCCCAAGGAACCCTTTCTGGAGGGTCGAATGGGGGATACTCTTCGTCAGCTGGAGGTCAAAGAGGCGACACTGATCTCGGTTTGACTCTTCTGAGGTCACTGGTTCAATCAGTTCTGAGCAAGAGTTCAGACCTGACACCTCATGAGAAGCGAAGTAAGATCAGAGAGATTCTGCCGTTGATTTTGAAGTTGTTTCGAAACTCGACCGGGACTGAGATATGTGCGCAGTTTGAACAGGTGGCTCCGTTTGCAGTGACCATGTGCAAGTTGTTTGTCGAGGAAGTCAGAGTGAGAGCACAGCCTTCTTCTACAGGTTGGTCCCGAAACTGTTTCTATTACTGACTTTTCTACAGTGCTGATTTAAATTAACCGGACAAAACGCGTTAAACTTGAAATTTAAAACGCATTTTTCTCAAATTGGGTTGATTTTAGGTGAAAATTTATGAAGACAAAACTTGCTTAGAATTTTAGCAGAATTGATATGGTGTAATTTGTTTTGCGAAATTCGGGTCCGAAATTTTACCCCAAAAATGGGTCATTTTGGTTTTTCTTAGTTAATAAAAAATTACGCCAAAAATACCCAGTCGATCACAGACATAATTATATCAAAGTGAGCCCCTTACGTAGCTCAACAAACTTTAAGAAGGGTATTTTCTCCAAAACATTGTATAATTTAATTAAATTTTGTTTGATAGACAAAAAAGGTCGTTTTTACTACATAAAATACAAACTTTTTATTTAAAAACAATTTATACCCTTCTTAAAGTTTGTTGGGCTACGTAAGGGGCTCACTTTGATATAATTATGTCTGTGATCGACTGGGTATTTTTGGCGTAATTTTTGATTAACTAAGAAAAGCCAAAATGACCCATTTTTTGGCGTAAAATTTCGGACCCGAATTTCGCAAAACAAATTACACCATATTAATTCTGCTGAAATTTTAAGCAAGTTTTGTCTCCTTAAGTTTTCACCTAAACTCAATCCAATTTGAGAAAAACGCGATTTAAATTTCAAGTTTAACGCGTTTTGTCCGGTTAATTTAAATCAGCACTGTATCTTGCAATATTTTACAAAAAAATAATGATATTATCTGTAGCAGATTTAAGGGAGTCGGGTAGGCGGACCCCCTACCTCAGGGCTTCGAACCCTTGACCAACCAAAGAGTCGCTCTTTGGTACTATTTGAATTTTAGGACATTAATTCTTGGCAGAACGACTCAAAAATGTGTCTAAGGCGCCTTTGGCGCCAATTTAAATTAATTTTGAGGCAAGAGAGCACGCCGAAAAAACTTGATTTTTAATCATAACCTTCCAAATATGCTCAAAACGTCTTTTTTGGCTGGCTATCTCAGTATTAGCTTGCGTTCCAAAATGTCTGGTCCAAATAGGTTTTTATGTGATTTGGGAGACCTAAAAAAGGGTCATCAAAATTTTCCTAGTAGTTCTAAAATCCGCAACTCCTTGCCCATGGTTATTATTAGGAAATTTTGTAGAAAAAAATGTCAAAAAAAATTAATTGAACCTGGAATCAATGCTGGTTTTGAGTTAATAATGTCAATTTGTTCTGATCAGAAGAGAGTTAGAAGAGCCACTAATTCATCAGAAATATCTTGCAAAATAGGAACCATTACAGGTCAAAAATTGATATTTTCGACTAGCACTGGGGAATATGTTCCGTTTTAGTGTATGCTAGCAGAGCCATCATGGCGTATCTGAGCGGAAACGAGCAGGCACCAAACACCAACGCATCATCGGGTAATTATATCCAACAGCTTAGACATCTCTGTCCATAGAAGGAAGTCACATAGGAAACACAGTTGGCCAGTAGTATCTGGATTGACTTCCGCGGTATCAGACAGGATAATCCTTTGATAAACCATGGCTGAAAAGGTTGCCTGCTAAGAATAAAATTGCGTTTGAATAAAGTCCGCGTGCCTTGAATCAAAAATGGATGATTTCTAAGTTTCATGTCAAGTTGCAAAAAAGAGCAACAATATGTGATGCTTATACGTGCTGCTTGCTCGTAAAAACTAAGGTTTTCTCATTCGAACTCTGTAGATAATCCTGGTTTCAGATTTTGGTTTATATCGGTCACTCTACTATTAGAAATTTTGCATATTTTTTTGTTTGTATAAGTAAGTTTTAAACATTCAAATTCAGGGTTTTTTTTAATGACTAATACATCAGTATTTGAAGATATTATTTGATAGTTACATCACAAATGCATTATAAATCATATTCGTAGAAGATTGTGCACAAAGTTGTTTGATTTCTTTCAGATTATTCAGTCAGGATTTTTCGTTTATCATAGTACTTGCCGTTTGAAAGGTTTCAAATCTGAACAGTAGATGTTCAGTCGTTTCAAAACCTTCGTCGCAGTAGCTCCTTAATAAACCAAGGTGGTGTTTAACTTATTATTGTTCCGACTTTCGATACGAAAGTAACGGAATATTTGTGCTCGGGGTGGGTTTTTTTTTCTTCAGACAAATTTCGACTTTTTAACTAGCCATTTTTGACGGAACTTTTAAAATATCATTCAAAAGGTATTGTTGTCCTGAGCTTAAATTTGAAAAAATATTTCACCTGTGATCATTTTTTGTAAAGTTATGAAAGTTTAAAGATTGCCATTTTGGCCATTTTGACCAATTTGGGACAATTAACGCGCGATATAATTCGCGCTATTAACGCGTAAGCGGAGATATAATCCGTCTTATAAATCGTTCCAAATTGGTTGAACGAAGCTTATTTGGCATAATTGATTTGTTACAAGGAGCGAAATCTATCTTTTTGTGTTTTATATGGCGTTTGGGGGGATGATTTTCATAAAAAAATTCAAAAAAAAGTTTTCGCTTTATTTTGTTTCATTTAATTTTTTTAATGTTATTACTGCTCCTCCATAAACCTTAAAAGGCAGTCGGAAATATTTTATGGTCGTTGGCATCATAACTAAAAGGGCTTTGAAACGATTCATCACTCGACGCATTTCGATGATTATCTGTGGTACTTGATTTTGCGTGAAAAACAAAAAGAACAAGACTGCTCGTATCGAGTGTTCCGATTACCTTTTAAGGTTTTATGGAGCAGTAATAACATTAAAAAATTAAATGTAATAAAATAAAATGAATTTTTTTTCTAAAATTTGAAATTTTTTAATGAAAATCATCCCCCCACACGCCATATAAAGTACGAAAAGATAGATTTCGTTCCTTGTAACAAATCAATTATGGCAAATAAGCGTCGTTCAATCAATTTGGAACGATTAAAAGGACGGATTAAATCTCGTTTACGCGTTAATAGCGCGAATGATATTGCGCGTTAATTGTCCCAAATTGGTCAAAATGGCAATCTTTAAACCCTCATAATTTTACGAAAAATGATCACAGGTGAAATATCTTTTGAAATTTAAGCTCAGGACAACAATACCTTTCGAATGATATAAAAAAAATTCCGTCAAAAATGGCTAGTTAAAAAGTCGAAATTTGTCTGAAGAAAAAAAAACCCACCCCGAGCAAAAATATTCCGTTACTTTCTTATCGAAAGTCGGAACAATAATAAGTTAAACACCACCTTGGTTTAATAAGGAACTTCCGTTTTTAACATTTCTTTGAATTTAAACTGGGAAATCGAAAAAACACCTTAACCATTGCAATATACGATATAGCTTAAACGTGAAAAAATTCATTTGTTAAACATGCAAAACTAATACGTTGATAAAGCTTAAACATGGCGAGATAGTGAAATTAATGACCTTGCGAAAAACTAATTGAAAATTTTTCTTAAGCATTGCAATATATGATATAGCTTAAACATGAAAAAATTCTTTCGTTAAACACGCAAAATTATGCTTAAACATGGGAGATAGCTGTCACTCGGATTTAAATTACGAACCCTGTAATTGAGTGCTGTCAGAGTACACTCAAAGAATAGTTTTTTGAGTTGTTGAAAGTTCGAAGCACCGGAGGTGCGGTACACGCTAGTTTTCATTTATTAAGTTTCCTGCTGCAGTTTTGCATTGAAACGTGTTCGCTGTGATTTTAAGCAACGAAAAAGGGTTAATTGGAGATTAAAATATAGAACATTGAATATCCCATTTTTACGCTATGATCAGGGATCCGTCACTGATGCCCTGTGCTTCTCCGACACACCGAAATAGCTACCTAGCCACTAGGCTTCGGCGTCAGTGAGTAAACAGTTAATGCGGTAAAGAGTTAATGCGGGTGCTCTCGGATTCTCAGTTGATCCAATTTAAATTTAAAGTCTACTTTAAAAAGTTTAGAATCAAAGAGTTAAATAAACCAAAGAAAGTATATTTTTTGTACGATTTCATCGTTCACGAGAAAGAGCGAAAAATTAAAGCGACAGTAAAACGATAAGCCAGGTCTTTAAACGAATTCAGGTAGATTTTGCGTTCTATAGGTGAATTCGGGAAGAATTTGCTGCTGTGTTTGGAAGTGATATGCTCAGCGAGCAAACAGGTCACAGATGAGATGGTACAATGCAACTTACCATCCACGCTGGTGAAGTGTATCTACATCTTCTACGATCTTCCACCCACTCAGAACAGCTTGGAGGGATGTGAGAGGTAAACTGGATTATAATAAGTTATCGACATACTCGTTTGTTTTTCTTTAATTTCAATTCCAAACACCTATAGAGAATCATGTATCAGAAACCTATATATATATATTAAAATAAATCTATTTTGGAGTGAAATTAATTTTGGATTTTATTTTTGATGATTCACGGTTTCGATGAAAAAATTTTGTGATAAATAATTGGCAGTCGAAATTGGACGACTGCTCGAAATGTTTTGACGAAAGAAAGCAGCAATTTTTTGTTCAGACTAGCAGTGAAAGAATCAATCCGTCACATGCTCTCCCAACTCCTGCGCTACCACAGAGCCACTGAGGAACTGATGAATGGGGAGGACTTGGCTCTGCTGATCACATCAGTGGCCAACTTCTGTCCCCCTCACAATGTGATGTGGAGGGAGACTGCCTCTTCTGCTCTCACTACTCTGAGTGTGAATGCACTGACGCCAAGTGTGATTAACTACATAAGGAGGAAGGAGTGTATAAGACAGGTAATAGTGTCCTCAGTTAATTCATTGTTTAGGTTTCAAAAATGATGAAAATCTTGAACTTGGCTAATATGATAACTCCTAGTTAGCGTTAGCCTGATTGTTATTTTCAACATTGGATTCTTTTCGCGTTCTAATTCCGCAACAACCGTTTTATTTTAAAACAGTGAATTGCAGATATATAATTGCCTTAATTCTAATTTTCACTTGGGAAATTGTCCTTCCTAACAGATTTTTTTTGGAAATGAAGACAGGTTAATTTTACCTGAGTTGTAATTTAATGAAATTTAAAACTAAATTTAAAGGTGATGTTATTTCATATCTCAGCCCATTTCAATTGAGAGTTAGAACTTAGGATACTTATAATAATGATCTATATTTGTAATCGAGAACACGAAATTTTTCTTCTGTCTATAAAATATTCCGAGCAATAATGTTCGGTTTTGCTTCCTAGAACGAATAAGTGGTGCTATAATTAAACTTTTGAACTTGTCGGTAGTCAAGTTTTTTCTGTAATTTGTGAGTCACGAGATACTCAACCTGAAAAGCCTTCTTTCGGTTGTTAGTGCATTGAGAAGATGAGGGAGATAGGCCAGTTTTCTCCCCTGGAAATAGTGGAGATGTTTGTGACCCTCTTCTGCCTTCTGAAAGACTCCGCCGCACTCAGTGTGAAGCTGCTGGAGGACTTCGAACGACACAAGGGATACGAGTTCCTCAAGGAGTTCTTAGTCAAGTGCGCTCTTTTTTTTTTTTAGAAATTACTCCTCATTTTCTGATTTCCTTGTCCACCTATTCATCGTCAATGTGAATTCCTCGTCAATCCTTGCACTACTTTATTTTACCAACTAAATTTAAAGATTCAGCATTAAATTACCGATATTCAATGAGCGGTTATTTTTGTAATCACATAATTTCGTGAGCATTTCAAATAAAAAGTGAAACAGTAATAAGAACAACATGCATATAAAAATTGAAAATCAAGCTCTGAATTCCATCTTTATGCTCAGGATGGACCGGTATGAGTGTGAGGCGAATATAGACGCCACTATCCGCACCCTCGCTCTCTCCATCCTCTCTCTAGTCTACTGTGGGGAGAGTGAATTGAAGCCACCCTCTGACCTCGAGATCCAATTCTCACTCCCTGACTTCTCAATTCCACAGCCTAGCAACAGAGGTGAGCTGCGGTTCTCTAAGTTGAGTTTTGTTAATTAAAGCAATTAGTTGAATTTAGACTCTTTGAGAGCCATGTTTGCTTGAAATTGATGATAATTTTTCTGTTTCTTTGTAGTCAAAATGCAAGTAAATTTCACTATTTTCACTTGCTACGAGAGTTGATACCTGTTAAACCTAAATTAAAGTACTGTAAATTATCTGATCTTCTACCTGATTGACGAAGATCTCTTTTAAATTATGCATCCAGCGCACTGAAAAGGAACAGCAATGTGTTGTGAACCTAAATAGCTTGCTTCTATTTGATTGTTTTGACCGGCTTTTAAGGTGGCCCGCCGTCGATGATACGGAAAATGACCAAAAACTCCAAAGGTGAGACTACTCCTCAAGGTTTAAGGCAGAGGCTATTTCAACTTGAATCATAGATAAGTGTCATTTCCATGACATCATAGAATTCATTTCTTGGAATTGAAAAACTCAAATAGTTTTTATATCTTCCAATAATAAGTTTTGCTGTCTAATACAATTGTGTTAATAGTTTTGAATATTATATATTGACGGTGAAAATCGATGCGAATGATCAAAAAGTGACCAAAAACAATATTAAAGATCTGTTTTATATTTCATAGTCATTTTAAGTATCTTGTCGAATATTGCCCTCAATCACTGATCATGACTTCGAATTTACATCCACGATTCCATTAGTTGGTATTGGCAATGGATAAGATTCGTAGAAAATTAAATATGTGTTTGATGACTGTTGGTTCGTTTTGCTGTTTGAAAACTGACAAAGATGAAGGTCAACCTGACTGAAGATCGGCTGCAATAATCAGAGGAACAACTGATTCAATTCGACTGAAATTTTTTTTATCTTTCCCTCTTGTTTACAATATGTTTCAAATTGCTCAATAAACAAAACAAATGAACATAACAAGTAAATCAGGACCCTCATGAGTTCATATGTTGAAAAAAGCATAGTTTCGATATTGGATATAAAGCAACTATATTGGAATTTAGCTCCTCTCTTCACATATGGTACGTTGCACACTCATCGAAATACCTGAATCATGTGAGGTCGGTTAATATTAACTCAAAGCTTCAGATCTCTGAAACTTTTTTGGGGTTTTATGCTTGGTAGCAGTAGCATCTATCTATGGTGAAGGTGTATTTGCAGCACAAGGGCTTTTGCAGTGACCACTCTCGAAAATTATTAAGAGCTTATGATTTCGGTGATCTTGTCTTCCGGTTTGATATCAGCAGCGAAATATGCCCGACTGGCTCGAGTGCTGTTTTTTGCCGGTTTTTAAAAATTAATCTACCCTTGCCGAGTCTTGTTATCGGGAACTAGACTTTTTCACCTAAACAACACGTACAAATGTGTAAGAAATTGATTTTGCTTTATTATTGATCCTTAAAAACTATCAGTTCCATTCCCTCTAAGGTTTGGGGTTCGAGTCCCGGCGGGACCTTGTTTTTTTTCAGTATGTATGAAATTGAACAAAAATCCGATAAAAACTGTTTTGTCAGCTTATTCTTTTTCTGGTTATATTATGTCGGCTTATTTACAACATCACGGATTTGCCTTGTGCTCAGAGCTGTTTTCCTCGTAGTTGGAAGTGTTGTTGATTCCTCGAATTTTGAACTGTTATTGAAATACAGTGTCAGGACTATTTGCCCCAAGTCAATTGGCCCTATGCCAATTTGTCCTATACTAACTTGCCCTACATGGCAACTTGTCCTATGCCAACTTGCCCCACATGAAATTTTGTCCTATGCCGTTTTGTCCCATACTGAACACTTTTACTTGATTCTTTGATGTTCAAATTGAGGACCAGCAAGTGCTAATGTACACTGGACTCGTTTTGAGATAACAAAAGACTCTAATCGGAAATTATTGAAGCTGAGCCTAAAAAACCAAAAATTTTGGTAATTACACGCCAAAATTTGACAATAATCCACAATTAGCGCCTTTGAAACAAAATGAAACACGACTATTCTTTCATTTTGCTTCATTGTATACTATTTTGTTCTACACATCCAACATAAATACTATGAGTCAACTTACGTAGGGAATATCTCAAAGAAATAATGAACGCTAATTTTTGACGGACATGATTTCACAAAAAAGCCAACGACAAAAACTACTGAGCACTGGAGATGCGCAAGATACAGTTCACACAAATGCCGCATGCTTGCCGTCACAGCAGGAGATGAACTCGTATCAACAAAAAATGAGCACAGCCACTATGTTAGACGTGGGAAAATTGAGGCAAACCAGATCATGCATCAAATGAAAAAAGAGGCCAGGAAGCAAATTGTACCTGTTAATAGTAGTATAATTGCCACTTGTCTCCGAGAAGTAACAGATGAGAAAGCTGTTTAATTATCCTTTCCCTGTCGTGCAGCAATAAACAGAACTCTTAACCGCCAGAAACAGAAGATTTTTGTTTATTCGTGCGTTTTTTTTTCGCTTAAAAGCTTTCATCGGCGAAAAGCTAATTGCTCAATTTTTATAACAGCAATTTCTAAGGCATATTTTTTGTTTTCGACTCATTGGGCGTCTAAGGTAATGTCAGCTTGGTTGCATATCGGCAAATCTTGTAAGCTTCTATATGTACAGCTGGTGGTTGTTTATCGAATTGAGATTTAATCCGTCTTAGAAATCGTTCCTAGTTAGTTTAAACTGGCTATTTGCCATAATTGCTATTTAATGTGAGGGAAATCTCTCACTTTGTAGTTTATATGGTTTGATTTTTAAAAAAAATCTCAAATTTTAGAATTTGTTTTTGAAAAATGCATCAAAATTTATAAAGAGAACACTGTTTCATAGAACTGATAGGGCAGTGAGAACCTTTAGGGCTTCGCCCTGATACGAGTAGTCTTGTTTCTGTTTCCTTGCGTCCATTACTCTTTTCCAACTGCCAGTTGGCTAATTTTGCTAGCTGGCAATGCTACGCTTGCATCGTATCGCAACTCCGCTTTGTCTGTGTTAATTTTGTTTGAATTGTATCCTACCACATTTAAGCGTTGTTTGCAAGGTTTAAGCTCCTAAATTTATTGTGTTCGTTTTGATTCTTTTGCTTGTTAAGTTCACTTTCCTGATTTGAATTAGTGGATCTCTTCTTTTTTTTGAGCTTTCGAAAGGAGATCAGATAATTCAGATGCTGTTGTAGTTCACGTTGAGGTGTGATGTAGCTGCAATTATATAATAAGTAAAAATGAGAACTGTTACATTTTTCATACTAGATTCGGTTATGGTCATCAGATCGTAAGCTGCAACTGTTACCGCCAAACTTTGGCTACAGCAGAGACTTAAAAAGCACGAGCGCTTTCAATTCAAACAAAACCACATTTCTTTTAGGTAGTTACAAGACTTTATTCCGTTATTAGATCATGTTGTACAAATGACAGATCAAACAAAACTCAATTTCATCTCAATTTTCCTACTTAGCACATCTTTCCATCCGTTGAGCGTGTAGGTCAAAATATTCAAAAAACTGGCGCTTTAATGTCTCATCAGAGCTAGTACAGACCCTAACTTTACGGTTTTTGATTGCACCAAATCTACGAAGAGTCGCTCTATACCTTAGTCTTAAAAATATATCGATATTGTCTGTTTTTCCATTGCAACTCAATTTTTTACTGTGATGATAATCAATTCATAATTTAACTTGAAAAATAAGGCAGTTGTTTTCAATTCTGCGAGGAAAGACAATCTGTTTTCTACAGCTAGTCAAATGCTATAGAATATATCACGATAAGCAGTAAATTTATCAATATTTGGAAAAACTTTTATCAATACAAGTTTCTGGTAGCCGAAATCAACCTATTTGTTCTTGTGCGAGTCGATTTATTTTATCTCTGAGATTCGACTTTCGTTGTTTAAGAGTAACACGACTGCTCGTATCAGGGCGAAGCCCTGATTGTTCCGAATGCCTTTTAAGGTTTATGGAGCAGCAGTAATAACATAAAAATTAAATGAAAATAAAAAAAGAAAAATTTTTTTTCTAAAATTTGAAATTTTTTATGAAAATCATCCCCCCACACGCCATATAAAGTACAAAAGGATAGATTTCGTTCCTTGTAACAAATCAATTATGGCAAATTAGCTTCGTTCAACCAATTTGGAACGATTTATAAGACGGATTAAATCTCCGCATACGCGTTAATAGCGCGAATTATATCGCGCGTTAATTGTCACAAATTGGTCAAAATGGCAATCTTTAAACCCTCATAACTTTACGAAAAATGATCACAGGTGAAATATCTTTTCAAATTTAAGCTCAGGACAACAACGGCTTTCGAATGATAAAAAAATTCCGTCAAAAATGGCTAGTTAAAAAGTCGAAATTTGTCTGAAGAAAAAAAAACCCACCCCGAGCACAAATATTCCGTTACTTTCGTATCGAAAGTCGGAACAATAATCCATTAAATTTGTTAAAAGGAAGGCAAACTCCACTACCGAACAGCAAAAGTGAAAAAGATCACAATAAACGTGATCGACTTGTAATTTCGTTTCGAAAGTGGAATTTAATTTTAAGATTTCCCAGCGGAATGAAAAATTTACTTTTTGATCCAGTGTTCTCAAATTGAGTTAATTTTACCGAAAAAGTGTCAAAAATAAATTGTTCTTGCATTTCAAAGAGGTTTGAGGCCATATTTTTTTGAAGTTCGAAGGTTGAGATTCTTTCAAAAAAATAAGTCAGTTTTTTTTTGCGTTCATTACTATCTTTTCCAACTGTCAGTTGGCTATGTTCTTTTTATAGGTTTCTCATTCTGATACAATTTCGAGTAGAATGTAAATAAGGCGATGTTTCAACGGTACTGGAAAATTTTGTTATGTTCTTTGTAACATTGTCTCTTGTGAGCCCTTTCTTTCTAATTGCATAGTCACCCTCATTGATAACCACATAAACGCTTATATTTTTCTCAAGCTTTGTCAGTGCTGTTTTTAGATGTAATTCACAAAATTTTTTGTCTTAATCTGTTAAAGCTCATCACATTGTATTGTGCTTTGTTTGATCGCCGTCTTCGGACAGCTTCGTCTAATTTTAATTTGAGAAAATGCCTCGGCTGCTTTTTTTTCGCAGAAATATTCGCAGTTGAATTTTCCAACCTTCGTCAGTGTCGTCAGCCGTATCAGACCTCGTTGTTTTGACTCCCAATATTTCATGAACTTATTCAAGATCTCTTTTCTGTTAGGCTTTCTGATGTCATCGTTGAATTTTGCGGTAGCTCTGGCGTCTCACTGATTGTTAAACTACACTTGGTTTCACAGATGAAAGCAAACAATGGTCACCATCCAAAACAAATCGGATAGTTGTTCCCTGATATCGGGTTTCGTCTTTCGTGATTTGTGTTCGCTATAAGGAGTTCCCAATGTAGGTATTTACTCTCTTGTATACAAAATTGTTCCGCTTTATCTGATTAACAATTTAAATAAACTTTTCTGATCTGTTGAGATCATAAGAGTTAATTGTTTCAATACTAAAAATGTTCGCCCATTTTTTACGACATTTTCATAGGTTTCTTTTTGCTTTGGCTAAAATGGGCTTCAACTAGCGTAGTGTAATTTTAGTGGCCTCTCGGTAAATACTAAGGGTTTAGTTAATGCTGGATGTTTTGTTTCTGGGCTGTTTTACTTAAATACTTGATTCATTCCAAAAAAAATTAGTGTGTTAAACAATTTTGACTTGGTCGTTTTTGTCTCGTTTTTTGTTCGCTAGCTGGCAAATTTGCGCTTGCGCTGTATCGCAAGTGATGCGAAGCTCCTCTTCGCCTGTGTGATGACTATCATTCAACACCTCGATGAGTTTTTTATAAATGTTTTTCACTTGGTAGAATAATTTGGTTCAAGGCTTGAATTTGATTTTTTAGAAGCTCGTTTTCAGAACTTACATCAAGTTACGCTCCTAATAGCCAAATTGGCAATGGCGCAAAAATGATTAAATTAAAGTTTCAAGAAATAATTTCTTTTGTTAAGATTTCCAGCTGAATAAAGAAAGTACCAATTGGTCCCAGTGTCAAGTACCAGATTCACCAAGCGTCTTGAAATTGAAGGGACTCGGAAGTACTATTGATTGCAATCAATGGTACATCCGAATCCCTTCAGTTTCAAAAACATCGTGAACTTGATAAATATCAAGAATCCAAAATATTATTTCGGTTTAAACGGGGTCATTGTATTTTCGCAGATTGTTGGTCAGCTTTAGTTTTCTCGTTCTCATGATTATGAGTAAAAGGTTGAAATTTGTTGAAGAAAAGTCCTACAAAATTTTCCAAATTTTTATTTGCAATTTTAGCTTTATTTTTTTCTGAATTTAATGTAGCACATTATTTCAGTATTTCAGAGATCTCTCTTAGGATTTTAAATGTTCGCTGATGTCATGCGGACTTCGATGAAATAAGATATCAATTTGACTGCTTAGAGTAATCTGATGATATTGGTGTTGGAAATGGTCCAGCACATGAGCATCTCATACCTTGTAATGACATGTCTGAATGTTTCCAATGAATAATTCACTTATGCAGGCATCGGTTGCAAAAAACACATTTTTTAAATAACTTGCTTTTCAGGAAACTCTCTCCGAAACATTCGAGCGTTCGACGTGCTGCAACAGACATTCATCAACTGCAACACAGCGTCACTTCTCCGGACAATCCTGGAGGTAATTTCGACCATCTACAATGCAGACGTCTCAAACTTCTTCATTCTGTACAACCAGAAAACCCTGGTCGCATTCGCCCACGTCATTCCAAACAAGTCGCAAGAGGTCTGGGCTCATTACTTCGATCTGCTGGACTTCGTGGCGACTACTTTGAGATTTGTTCCCATCTTGGAATTGATCACACTATCTTCGCATCTCGAAACCAGAAGGTATGCAAAAAAGCCAGACAAAATTACTGTCAAGGAGAAAGACCAATTGCCTACAAAGCTTACGCGTACAATTTCACTTCTACTGAAAAACATCATCATGTTCCAAACATACGAATGGGGAAAAAATGGGGTAAAATAGGCCCATGTGAACAAATCTCCCCTAAAAAGATCAAAGGAGCAATTCCCACCGTCCCTAAAATTAATTCCAGCAAAAGAAGATGGATTTTCATTTGCGCCTTGTATTTTGGGTAATTTTGGGACGCGTATCATGAAAGACTCATGAACGGTATAATTTTGGGCGAACCGGAAATATGGACCCGATTATCATATTTGAGCCATATTATCTGGACCACGTGAACTATCTCCCCCCCCCCCCCCCCCCCAAAAAAAAAATATATAAATATAATTTTTTTGGGGTGGGGGTGTTTAGATAGTTTACGTGGTCCAGTTAATATGGCTCAAATATGATGATCGGGTCCAAATTTCTGATTCGCCCAAAATTAAACCGTTCATGAGTCTTTCATGTTACGCGTCCCAAAATTACCCAAAATACAAGGCGCAAATGAAAATCCATCTTTTACTGGAATTAATTCCATCCAACCAATCAGATTCGAGCATTGAATTTAAAATATTTTTCATCCCTTGTCCCCCTCTCCCGAGATAGACCAAGTTAAGATCTTCTGTATGCAGTTAAAATCCCCCTTCCCCACCTCCACTCCAGTTTTCAATTTAATTTGATTTTGCTAAGCGCTCGCTGCCGTGTAAAATGCTCTATTCTGATTGGCTGAAACTTCGAACTCAGAACCAAGTTAATTGCAATTATCAGACTTGATTATAATCCAAATACAAGCCAGAATTTTACAGACCAGACCTTACGCCCAAAGAACGAGATGCCATCAAAGTATTCAAAAAATGGAACCAACTACTTCCGAAATCTCATTTGCAGAAAAAATTTTGCTAAAAAGCGGAGCTAGTTTCAAAATTGATTTGATTTGTACAATTTTGCAATGATTTCATAAAAAAAAAAAAAAAAAAAAAAATAACACTTTAATTGCACATCGAAATTAATTTCAATACACAAGTGTATGTCAAATTGTTGGAAATAATTGTTGGAAATAAAAAACTATTGCAGTTTTTGATTTTCAACTTAAAATAATTGCAATAATTAATTGCAGCCAGAAAAACTACAGTAATTGATTTTCAGTTGCAATACTACTGCAATTAATTTTACGGAGGGAGAGGATGTTAACTTGGTCCAAAATGTCTTTTTTAAAAAGACCAATTTTTGCTGATTCTGCACTCAATCAAAAACAATAGGGCCATTTCCGAGACAAATTTTATCTCACCTATGTCTATTTTAAAAAGACCAATTTTTGCTAATTCTGCACTCAATCAAAAACAATAGGGCCATTTCCGAGACAAATTTTATCTCACTTAAGAAAAGCAATCAAATTTAGCATTGAGCTAGCAAGACTCAGTGATTGATAAATACAGTGCTGGGACAAAACGCGGTTAACTTGAAATTTAAATCGCGTTTTTCTCAAATTGGGTTGAGTTTAGGTGAAAACTTAAGGAGACAAAACTTGCTTAAAATTTCAGCAGAATTAATATGGTGTAATTTGTTTTTGCAAAATTCGGGCCCAAAATTTTACCCCAAAAATGGGTCATTTTGGCTTTTCTTAGTTAACCAAAAATTACGCCAAAAACACCCGGTCGATCACTGACATAATTATATCAAAGTGAGCCCCTTACGCAGCCCAACAAACTTTAAGAAGGGTATATTCTCCAAAAAAAAGTTGCAAACCGTTAAAAAATTGTTTTTAAATAAAAAGTTCATATTTTATATAGTAAAAACTACCTTTTTTGTCTATCAAACAAAAATAAATCAACTTATACAATGTTTTGGAGAATATACCCTTCTCAAAGTTTGTTGGGCTACGTAAGAACTCACTTTACATATATATATGCCTGTGATCGACTGGGTATTTTTGGCGTAATTTTTGGTTAACTAAGAAAAGCTAAAATGACCAATTTTGGGAAAATTTTGGGCCCGAATTTCGCAAAACAAATTACACCATATTAATTCTGCTAAAATTTTAAGCAAGTTTTGTCTCCTTAAGTTTTCACCTAAACTCAACCCAATTTGAGAAAAACGGGTTTTAAATTTCAAGTTTAACGCGTTTCGTCCGGTTAATTTAAATCAGCGCTGTAACAACGAATTTAGAATGAATTTAGTGTTGTGCATAAGAGCGCAGGCAGTCTTTATCCAGCGTAACACCGCACGGCTTGACAAGGGTGGCCATAAAATGCATATAATGTAAATACTCCTCGTCTTAACGCGTCAGCAAAATGTGCTCTGATCTATATAAAATACAAAGCTTTAACATTGTGATTTCTGACTTTTAAAGCAAAATGTGATATAATGTAAGTTGCTCTGCTGAGAAAAGTGTCCATGTAAAGAAAATAGGAATAAAAACGGTTTAAATTGAAATGTTTCAAATGTTTTGGGAGAAATTGACATATATGGAAATGCTGCATGAAGAACTTGCGAATATGCGAGCTATAGGTGGTACTACTTGTTGAAATTACATTTAGCGACCACAACGATGTAGTGTTTGATCTGATCTGAACAGGCTTGATAACCTATCTTCTCATACTTACCTGGCGCCGACCGTCCTCTGATCAAGCAGAGAGGTGGTCCAGGGCGAGGCCTTTGCATTGCACTGCGCGGAGGTTGACCCCTGCGATTTCTCCAAGTGAGAAACTCGGACGCACAATTTCTTAGTGTGGGGACTGCGTTCGCGCTCTCCCCTCTAATATACTGAACTTTCCTTCTTAGTAGAGAATCAAAAAGTCATCAGGATCTTTGAGTATTTGTTTGTTTCACATGTTGCAAGTCATTTCAAATGATCTACCAAAAAAATGGCATGTACGTCTTAAACAGGACCACAACAGCGGTTCGCCGTGATGAGCTAGCTGTACAGCTCTTGTGTTAGTCCTTTCCCCCGTGGATAAATGGTCTTAATAATAACAAGACTGCTCGTTTCAGGGTGAAGCTCTGAATGTTCCGACTGCCTTTTAAGGTTTCATGGAGCAGCAGTAAAAACATTAAAAAAATTAAATGAAATAAAATAAAGCGAAAATTTTTTTTTTGAATTTTTTATGAAAATCATCCCCCACACGCCATATAAAATACAAAAAGATAGATTTCGTTCCTTGTAACAAATCAATTATGCCAAATAAGCTTCATTCAACCAATTTGGAACGATCAGGGTGAAGCTCTGAATGTTCCGACTGCCTTTTAAGGTTTTATGGAGCAGTAATAACATCAAAAAATTAAATGTAATAAAATAAAATGAAACTTTTTTCTAAAATTTGAAATTTTTTATGGAAATCATTCCCCCACACGCCATTTAAATTACAAAAGGATATATTTCGCTCCTTGTAACAAATCAATTCTGGCAAATAAGCTTCATTCAACCAATTTGGAACGATTTTAAGACGGATTAACTCTCCGCTTACGCGTTAATAGCGCGAAATATATCGCGAGTTAATTGTCCCAAAATGGCAATCTTTAAACCGTCATAACTTTACCAAAAATGATGGTGGAATCCCTCATGGTCAGGGCTGTAAAAGATGGTATGGCCATACTATAGTGGTATAAAATTCCCTTATGGATATGGGCCTCTCGCTCACAATACATTATTGCAATAAAGGCAATTATGGAAAAATATGGTTAAATATGGTAAACTAATAAAAGCCATAATAAGAATAAAAAATAATAAAAAATACTCAAAAACAAAAAAAATCAACGGTTTTTTAACGAGTTGTTCAATCGGATCTTGCTAGTATGCATGAAATGGTATTGACATTCCAATAAACATGGTTGACATGCAGAAATATCTGGGCTTCCAGATTCATTGGATTCAATTTTTCCGATAGTCAGTGAATATACCCCGCACGACACTGAATAACCGCTCAACTATTGTGCTGTTACAAAGCAAATATGAAGGTAACCAGCAAATATACCAAAAAATATGAAGATGTACCCATGTGAGTCCATCCGTCGACGATGAGCCCAAACTTTTCGGGTAGCTCCTTGATACTTTTCTAAACTTCTTTGGTAACGATATCCAAGTATTTCATAAATGTAGGGCGAGAAATGGGTTCCTAATTGGTGTACTTTTTCGTTTTATCTTTTTCGACTGTGTTAAACGGTTTGCCCTCTGAAATAATCCATTCCATCCATCCATAAATGTTTTGGCTTTTTTCGGAGCTATAAACCCGGAAACATTAAAGTTTAGGGATCCTGAACCAGTTGGAATTTGGGATTTCCAATTGGGATGGTCTTTGTCCATGTGCAAAACCAAATTCCGTATCCTTTGGAAATATCCTGCTTGTAATTATTCGAGCATAATTTGCATTTGAATTGGTTCGCCCCAACATTAGTATAGAACGGTGACGTCCCATTTGTACCAACGGTCATTTGTACCAAAATGAAAAATCGGTCCCATTTGTACCAAAATAATTCAACTCGATTTCTGATTGGTCGAATTGTGAGCCAACGAATTATTACATTAATTTCCTACT